ATGGATGGATGGATGGATGGATGGATGGATGGATGGATGGATGGATGGATGGATGGATGGATTTTATCAAAGTTTTAATTTCTCTTCTCACCGTTCAGTTGTGTGTTCAAATTTTAATATTTGCAAATCTGTTTTCAAAACAAGGTTGAGATTTTTTTTTTTAAATAAAGAGAAGCACACTGGCAATACTGAATTATTTTTCATTTCTGGGAGGGAGAGGGCACCACAAAGCAGTTACATTTAGGACACCCATGCTACCGGTCCTGGCTCTACCAATAATCTCTAACTGTTGTTGGATGTGAAACAGCCTCTGAAGATAAACGATCCAAGATGAAGCACAAAACATTAATACACGGTGCCCTCCGACTCTGTCACCCAGCACTCCTTATAGAACTACGTAGGTGGCCCTTACTCTCATCATGAGGAAGATAAAATAGCACAGACAAAGAAGAAAAGAAGTGATTTGTCAATTGATATATACTACTGGACTGGGCGTCATGTGACCTGGGCGTGCTTCGCAAGGGAGGTTTTTATGCATTGAGCTAATGCTAACGCTAACCATTGAAATCAATGAGCAGAACGTAGCACGGTGCAAACAAATGCTTTATAAATGTACAAATGGTACAAAAACTTTGCTATAAACTGCAGAAATTGTTACAACATGTTTACAAGAGATAAAAGGGTTATGTTTCACAGGTAAATATCACGCATATAACCAAAATTAATTATTTTAATTGTAAAACCTGTATGCTAACATTAAAAAGCTTCAATGTTCATGTTTAACCTTATTTAAAATTGATTTTATCTGTTATCAAACATATTATTTACTGATATTAAACATGGAAATATGGACTTCATTGGATTGTTGACTAGTAAGACTGCATATAAATTCATAAAATACCATGTAGACTCACTAATGACAGACACTATGTAATGATTGAGCATCATAAAAAAAATAGGCACATTGTCAGACAGATTGGTTTATTCAGATATTTTCTACATCCAGTATTTGTGTTTTTCAGCATTTCCAGACAAAAAGGAGGAAAAATAGTGTGCCAGCTGTGGGTCGGCTTCAGATACAGCCTACATCATTGTGAAACTGAAGAATAATTCTTTGTGATAAAAATTAATTCATTAAACCATTCTTTGTGACATGAAATAATTTCTATTTTTTAGTTTGTTTTTACGGATGTTAAAATTATTGTAGCTTACAGCAAAAGTTTTTATAGTTGTGTGTGTGTGTGTGTGTGTGTGTGTGTGTGTGTGTGTGTGTGTGTGTG